AACAACAGTAATTACATGCTAAGGACTTTGGATTTTATCTGAAGAGAATATCTTTAAGAAGATAATCCTATGTATATTTTTTAAAGATACACATGAAGATTCATTTGTTGTCTGCATTTTGAAAACAATAACAGAAATTCTGTACATGCATGACAATAATTCAGTCCACCGCCTTCTTATAACAGCTGTGGGGCAGGTCCTGCCATTGCCTTCACTTTGCAGTTGAGGAAACCAAGGCACCAAGTCCCTTATCTGACCTGGTGCCCTTATGGGTGGAACCCAGATACAGAGGCAGGCAGCCTCGACCCAGAGCCCACCCCCTTCTCCCTTATCCTGGGCTGCTTTTGTTTGTGTTTCTTTAAGGACATACATGTTTTCTTAAGAAAAGGAAGTCAAAATATCTTTTTCCCATGGTTTCTCCTATACCATCTACCATCCAGGAGAGAATGATTTGGGGCCTTGCCGGTAGAACCCCTCTGCAGCTAGGCTGTCTTCCTGTCCTCCGCTCCTCATCTTCAGCTGCTTCCACGTGTGTGTAAGTTTATTTTCGGTTGTGATGGTCTTCACGGCTGTTGCGGGATTTCTCTAGCTGCGGCAGGCATGCTGGACCTTCCCAGACCAGGAGTCACGCCGCGTCCCCCGAGTTGGTAAGCGGGTTCAGCCCGCCGAGCCAGCGGGAGGCCGCCGCCTCTAGCCTACACCCCGTCCCCCTGCTCTCCTGGACGGGCTGTGAAGCCTCCCGGTATCCGGGCTTCCTCACAGAGCGGGGCCTTCAGACAGGGTCCCAGGGGTTCCCCGAGCCTTTCCCTTCCGGAAGCGCAGGAGCGCGTCACACGGTCCGCAGAGAGGGGCTGGTTGGCGCGCTCAGCCCCGATACACGCCGTCGGCGGGACCGTGCGTGCCGCTCGGCCCCAGCTTTCGCTGCGACGCCTCTGCGCCTGGCCCTGCGGGGACGCGGAGGTGAGCCCAGGAGGGGAAGCGAACAGAAGGGCGGCGCCCATCACGAGGGATCTGCTGACTTAAGCCTCCGCTCAGCTACTGTTTCATTGCTTCCATTGTGCCAGCTAAAAAAGGGGGGTGGCAGGATTTGTATACACAGGCGGGGTGCGCGCTTTAGGGGTCTGGTCGATGGCGGATACGTGTTCCCTGCTCCCGCCCTGTTCTTTTCCGTTGACCACACCGTGAATGCTGTCCGGGGACCCCCTCATACACACCACACTGCCAGCTAGGAGAATCAAGTGCTTACCATCACCTCCCCCTGAGCTGTGAGCGGAGCCAAGTGTGAACAAGCTCCTCTTCTCAGATTCAGACAAATAGTGAATGAAAGAGCAGACAGTGCAGGAGACTTAACTTTCACTTTACTCATTCATGGATGAACTTCGTGGTTTTTCTTTAGTAAAGAGGAAGGCTGACAGGTGATCATCTCAGAGATTGATAGAGACTTGGGAAAGCAATAACAATCTGAAAGCCAAAATGATGGGGAAATTTTCCTTCTATTGTAGAAAGGAATTGATAGAGAAATAAGGCTGAGTAATTTATGTTTGGAGACTGTTATTTCATCCCTGGTGTAGTTCTGTCCATGAAATATGAAACCTTACAGCAGGAGTCAACCTTCCTTCAGGTCATGATTATAAATATACTGTAGAAGGAGTATCTCATTCCTCCAGATTCACCGCAGTAGTCATTGGATGCACATTTATTGCCTAGTTTCATTTGGTTACTTGTAGTCTTAACGGTCTTCTATTCAGAAAAACATTTTAGCATTGAACTATTTGATAACATGATTTTAAAATTTCATTTTATACTTTTATTCCTTCATTAATACTTTTAAGATGTGCATAAATTTACAAAGATGCACACAAAATAATATTCTTCACAGCATTGTTTATTAAGCAAAAAATAAAAGTGGAAAGAACCCAAATACCTCTAAGTAGGAAATTGATTATTAATTCAGATTAATATTTTAAATGTTGTGGAAACTTCCCTGGTGGCTCAATGGTTAAGAATCAGCCTGCCAATAGAGGAGACACTCGGGTTCGATCCCTGGTCTGGGAGGATTCCACGTGCTGCTGAGCCACTAAGCCCGTGCAACTAACCCCTGAGACTGTGCTCTTGAGCCCGGGGCCGCAACTACTGAGCCCAGAGCTAAACCCTGCGCTCCAACAAGAGGAGCCACCGCCGTGAGCAGCCTACATGCAGCTGCTCCCTGCAGCCGGAGCAAGTCCACACACAGCAGGGAAGACCCTGCAAAGCCAAAAACAAAGGAATTAATTAATTAATGCCTTTTTAAAATTAAATAAAAATAAGATGATGCACAGGGAATATAATAACTTTGTATGGAGTATAATCTATAAAAACATTAAATTACTATGTTGTACACCTGAACCTAATATAGTAGTATTGACATGTCAGTTACACTTGAATTTTAAAAAGTAAAAATGATGAGGTAGGATGTAATTCCTGATACAGAAAGTTATTCACCATATAATGAGTTTTTTTAAAGGTTGCAAAAGCAGACTGACCTTTTTTTCTTTCTTATATGTTTAAAGAGAAGTCTGGAAAGATGTAAGTCAAAGTGCTAACAGTGTTTCAGTGAATTTGCAGCCAGTTTTCACTTAACTTTCTGTCTTATGTATTGTATGAGGCGGCTTTGTAAATTATTACTGTTTTTATATTTAGCATGTATAATTTTGCAGATGAAAAATATTTCTCTTTTTAAAACTGAGCTTGAAAAGGTGAGAGGAACTCTGAAGGGAATTTACTGCTTATTATTTAAGCATACAAAAAGAAGTCTGCACAGTGCGTGTGAGTTTCCTGAGCACGCTGACTCACCTCTGAGGTTTCTTCCTCCTCTGCCCCTGCTGAAATGGTCTGAATGCTTCTCCCCACCGCTGGGCTTCCCGTTGCTCGTCCTTCACCTGTCTCCCTCTCCCTCGGTGGTGGAACAGCGGACTCTTGTTCCCATTTAGCCCACCCTCCATGAGGGTGCATTTGCATAGAACATTAATATCACTGCTCCTTCTTCTGACTTAAGTCAGTCCTTTACCTTGACTGGTTAAGTTAGGAAGCTCAGATGGCTCTTGAGCGCGTGTCTCTCACGTTGGGTGCATTTAACCAAATAGCCGGCGTGACGGATGTAGACGTAAGCTCTGTCCAGGGTGCCCGAGTTCTTTGCCTTCCAGAAACTGGACCTGGATGATTTGTTTCAAAGGTACAGAAATGGGACGCAGACCTCCCTTTGGCCCTTTGGAGACTCGAATAAAGTCACTACTTTAGTCTGAACTGAAAGACAGCATTTTTCAAGAAGATATCTTGCCAATCCCAGATATTCTGTGTCTCCATTTGGTACTGCTGGTCTAGATCATCTTGAGCCCTGGCTGGGCTGCTTGAGGTGACGAGTTTCACCCTTTGGGCAGGTGAAAGTCAAGAGTCACAAAGAGCAGGCGGAGAGGCGGACATTCGTAACAGACCTGTGACTGGCCACCTGTTAACAGTTTGTGATACGAGTGAGTTAAGAAACTGGTCTCTGGCTGGAACAACTTTAACAAGCTTAGCGCAAATCCGAGCAAACGTAAGGGAAGTTCGTGAAAGCTTAAGCAAGTCTTGGGACTTCCCTGGCGGTCCAGTGTTTAGGACTGTGCTTCCGTTGCAGGAGACACAGGTTCAGTCCCTGGTTGGGGAACTAACACCCCACAACTCAGTAGGTGAGGCCCCAAGGAAAAAACAGCCCCCTAAAAACGGTGTGTTAGTGATGTTAGAACTGTGACGGAATTTTTGAAACAGCAGGGGTTTGTTGGGAGGGCTTTCAGAGGCTGTTGTCGTCAGCCTCCACAGACCCTGAAAAGGTGGTGCTTCCGTTACACTCTGATTATTGAGAAGCTGTGACACTGAAAGTCTTACTCAGGATTTTCCTCAAGTTACGAGGTGGTATTAGACTGCAGGCACACTGCCATCTTCTTTGCTTTTTTTTTTTTTTCTTCGTATTTATTACCAACTTTTGCTCATTTTTTCCCCCCTTTTCTCTTTTGGTTCTTTCTTATGCACTTGCTCTAATACATACAAATTCTCAACACCAAAAATATTGGAACTAAAACTCAAAGGGAAATTAAAACGTGGAGGGAAACCAGTGCCTTCTGGGATCTCCAGAAACCTAAAGGACATTTTTTTAGTTGCTCTGGATGGTCTTCATTAACCCTGGATCCTGTCTGGGTGGAGGAGGGTCCCGGGAGCCTGCAAGGAGAGGGGGGGCTCCAGCTCCAGGCCTGGCGCCCTCTCCGTAGGCTGAGTTTCCTCCCGTGGCAGCTCCAGTATGTTCAAGTTTGAGGACATGGTCAAGTCAGCGAGTGTTAACTGCGTGTCACGTCCACTGCTGCTTTTGTACCAGAGAGCTGGATGACCTTGACAGAGCTTCCCTGGCGGCTCAGGCAGCTCCTGCCCATGCGAGAGACGCAGGAGACACAGGTTCCATCCCTGGCTCAGGAAGATTCCCTGGAGACGGGCATGGCACCCCACTGCAGTGTTCTTGCCTGCAGAATTTCACAGACTGAGGAGAGGAGTCTGGTGGGCTCCAGTTCGTAGGATCGCAAAGTGCCGGACACAGCTGAGCAGTTCTCACACACACACACACACACACACACACACACACAGCTTGGTGATTCCCAAATACAGAGGCACCGTGTCACCCGCTCACTAACTTGCCGCTGCCCCCCCAGCAGTGACCAGGGTGGAGACCAGGCTCCCCCCACTGCATCTTCTCGGGGAAGGGAACGCCCCCTGAAAACCAGCGGGGACGGCGGCCGGTGTCTGCCTGCTGGGGGCCGGGGAGCCTCGTCCGGACCGTGACGAGGCGGCGGGGCTGCTGCGATGCGGTCCCGGGCGGGCGGCCCTGCTCCGGGCAGGACGCGGCCTCCGGCCTTTCCGCCCGCGCCCCGACCCCCCGTGTCCCCGGCTCCGGGGCGCCGAGCGCTGGCCCGACTGACCTGCTTCTGCTTCCTTTGCAGCTGACCCGCTGGTCGGCAGCATCGCCACACAGTACATGACCAACAGGGCGGAGCACGACCGGATGGCCCGGCAGTGGACCAAGCGGTACGCCACATAGCGCCGCGGCAGCCCAGCGCGGCGCGCCGCCGTGTGTCCCCTGGAGCCGTCTTGCGGTGGAGCGCCGTCCAGCCCCACTCCCGATCTTTGCTCACCACCCCTTCCTGTTTTATTCCCTTCTTAATTTCCATTAACTTGAAAGATCTGGTTTTTTTTTTTTTTTTAATCCCTCCCCCTCCACATGGATGGGAACTTTGGTTTTCAGTGCAAACAGTGTCGGATCTGTAATAATAAGAGCTTTCTTACCAAGCTTCGTATTCCTGTGTGGTTTTGTTCCTTATTGTCCATTTTCTTTTGATCCTTCCTTTTCTGTGATCTTTGGGAAGACACGAATTCAGAATTCTATCTCGTTTCTACTTCCATGTAGCGCTTCGGGTTAATTTTTTTGTACTGAAGTCTATCGGTGGGTGCATGCTACTGGGAACCAGATTTTGTACAAACGCTTCAATCAGAATCACTGTGCATTACTGAAGACTCTGTTTATCACTAGCCTTCTGTTCCCACACTGAAGGCTGCCGGATTGAACAAAATAATATGTATTTTGATTTACTTCAAGTGCTTGTAAATTTCTTAGGGACCTGCCACTTTTGACTGTGGATCAGTTGATGTACACTTGTATTATTAAAGCACTCAATAAATCACTGTGGCTGATAAATGCACTTCTGATAACCCGGCGTTTGCTTTGTATCCTGGTGACTGACAGAGCGCTCCGTGCAGCGAGGCTTGTCTAATTCAATTACAGGTTCAAGTGCATTTTGTTCATCTCAAACCTGGGAGGGCCCTTTGCAGTTGAGCTGCTAGCTGTGGAGGTTCCCCGGCTGTCAGTGGCCTGACGATTTTATGGTTGTTTCAGGTCACTCTGGTTTCGAGTATTGGCTGGATGTCACTTTCACATGGACATCTTCTCTGTTACCACCTTCTTGATGCAACAATTTGGATATGTGGCTCCAAAAATAGGCTCCTAGTGAAACTGAGGTGTGGGCTGATTGTTGGGTTAAACCACTTTTGGCTTTATTTCTCTCTTCTTTTTCCTCGTAAGATGGTCACAGTGATTGCCATTGGTTTGGAGTTTGTTTTTCCTCCATGGTTTTAGCGGAAGAAGTAAACTCCACTCGTATCAGTCTCGGTCAGCACACTCAGTGACAAGGTTTGTCTGTCTGGCTTTGACCTTCAGGCTTTTCTAAGTTTGCAGCTACAGGAGGCAGAGGAAACTTGTGTGCAGTGTGGCTTGAAAACCACACTGCCGTGCTTATTAATATTCAGGTTTCTTTGTGCTGACAAGGCCTGTTGGAAACTCCTGCTTCAGCTAATCATAGTTACAAGCCCCCCTCCCCCCCGCAGCTCAGTCTCATTTAAGGAACATCTTTACTTCTTAACAGAAGGATTTACATGTGTAAGTTGTTTGCCTGTAAATATTAATATTTCTGAACTTCAATTTTAATGACTTCATCAGAAACATTTTAAATATCTGATTCAGAAGATGCACTTTCTGTTGCCTTTTAGCAGTTCGAAGGAAACCCTAAAGAAAATATGTTTAAATCCTAAATTAACTGAGACTTTGAGACCAGTGTCCTTAAGGATTTTTTATAACCATTTTACCGTTCATTTTATTTAACCAGGTTTCAGCTTACAGAACACCATACAGTTTCTGTCGCAACTATTCAACTCTAGCCAGCAAAACCACAGACAGTGTGTATGAATGGGCACAGCGTGTTCCAATAAAGCTTTGTTGACCAGAGCAGTTGGTAGCCAGATTTGGCCCACAAGTTGTAGCCTGTCCCTGCCTGTTAGAGACCACCATAGACTGTGTGAAAAGAATCAGATAACTGTGTGTTTAACATTTCTTTCCTTGAAATAATATAAACTTAATTATAATATAAGACATTAAAAAAATTATCCTGACTGTTTTATTGCCTACAATCTTTCTCACCATAAGGTTTTTATGTTTACTTTAATACTTTAGATTAAAAAATTCAACCCTAAAAGCATTAAATTCATTTTCATAAGAAATTTTATTAAATTGATTTTTTTTGTTACTTTTAACTGATTAAACCAGTCTCATGATATTAATAGTGACTTTTATAGACAATATTTACATTCAGTTTGCCTTTCTTCTTTTAAAGCATCAGCTGCATGGAATACACATTTTGATGGTCTCTCCAGTATAGTACATCTACATCTCCTATCTGTCTGTACTTTAGATCATTTAAAAATGTGTATTTTTTTAGGAGACAGAGATTACAACAACCCTAGTAGGAAATCCTATCAATCACAAATCCATGTTTTCTATTCCATGAGGCATTTTCAGGAATTATGTCAATTTGACATGAAGAGTTTATAAAACTCCTTTCCTCAGTGTTATGAACTTCACATACTTAATGACAAACAAATGTACCTTCCCTTCAAACTCTGAAAGCTGGACAAACTCCAGAGAGACCAAGAAGCTCTTAGTTGAGCCTGTTAAGTCTAGATTTCAAATAACATGGTAATTTTACTTGAAATCTAAAATCACAGCAGGCAATACAATTTTAATAAGTCTTCAGCACTGTTTGTAAAGTAAGATTTGGGAGTAGTTTAATAGTCAGAAACCTAAGTAGTTTTCCTAGTAATTACGGAGATAACGTTGACTTTATACCATAATATTGTTTAAATTTCCAAACCAGTTATTGCTAGCTGTTGTATTTTGTAGCTTTGTTAAATAAAATGTTGGCAGATCCTTGACTGAGGCAGGACCATTGGTCATTGAGAAAGTAGTTGGAAATGATATTTATTGATCTTAAATCATTCAGAAGGCTGTGGCCTTAATTTGTCCTAAAATTGCAAATAAAGCATTGCTCATTTGTTCTTCTACAAGAATCGCTAAGAATTGAAGATAACAAATGCAGTAGTCAATCTTTTCTTCTTATGATGAGAGTGTAAACCTAGAAGTTTACCCTAGAATACTGATTTGGGAATTAGGGAGAAAGGAAGTATTTATTAAAAATGTACTATATGCCAGGCCACATGTTACCTAATAAAACCTCAGCCCAACTTTGTAGGGTGTAGGTGGCTATCATAATCTGAACATTTGTAACCCCCAAAATTCATGAGTTGAAATCCTAACCCCCAAGGTGATGGTATTATGAGGTGGGATACAGTTTCTGTCGCAACTATTCAACTCTAGCCAGCAAAACCACAGACAGTGTGTATGAATGGGCACAGCGTGTTCCAATAAAGCTTTGTTGACCAGAGCAGTTGGTAGCCAGATTTGGCCCACAAGTTGTAGCCTGTCCCTGCCTGTTAGAGACCACCATAGACTGTGTGAAAAGAATCAGATAACTGTGTGTTTAACATTTCTTTCCTTGAAATAATATAAACTTAATTATAATATAAGACATTAAAAAAATTATCCTGACTGTTTTATTGCCTACAATCTTTCTCACCATAAGGTTTTTATGTTTACTTTAATACTTTAGATTAAAAAATTCAACCCTAAAAGCATTAAATTCATTTTCATAAGAAATTTTATTAAATTGATTTTTTTTGTTACTTTTAACTGATTAAACCAGTCTTATGATATTAATAGTGACTTTTATAGACAATATTTAAATTCAGTTTGCCTTGCTTCTTTTAAAGCATCAGCTGCATGGAATACACATTTTGATGGTCTCTCCAGTATAGTACATCTACATCTCCTATCTGTCTGTACTTTAGATCATTTAAAAATGTGTATTTTTTTAGGAGACAGAGATTACAACAACCCTAGTAGGAAATCCTATCAATCACAAATCCATGTTTTCTATTCCATGAGGCATTTTCAGGAATTATGTCAATTTGACATGAAGAGTTTATAAAACTCCTTTCCTCAGTGTTATGAACTTCACATACTTAATGACAAACAAATGTACCTTCCCTTCAAACTCTGAAAGCTGGACAAACTCCAGAGAGACCAAGAAGCTCTTAGTTGAGCCTGTTAAGTCTAGATTTCAAATAACATGGTAATTTTACTTGAAATCTAAAATCACAGCAGGCAATACAATTTTAATAAGTCTTCAGCACTGTTTGTAAAGTAAGATTTGGGAGTAGTTTAATAGTCAGAAACCTAAGTAGTTTTCCTAGTAATTACGGAGATAACGTTGACTTTATACCATAATATTGTTTAAATTTCCAAACCAGTTATTGCTAGCTGTTGTATTTTGTAGCTTTGTTAAATAAAATGTTGGCAGATCCTTGACTGAGGCAGGACCATTGGTCATTGAGAAAGTAGTTGGAAATGATATTTATTGATCTTAAATCATTCAGAAGGCTGTGGCCTTAATTTGTCCTAAAATTGCAAATAAAGCATTGCTCATTTGTTCTTCTACAAGAATCGCTAAGAATTGAAGATAACAAATGCAGCAGTCAATCTTTTCTTCTTATGATGAGAGTGTAAACCTAGAAGTTTACCCTAGAATACTGATTTGGGAATTAGGGAGAAAGGAAGTATTTATTAAAAATGTACTATATGCCAGGCCACATGTTACCTAATAAAACCTCAGCCCAACTTTGTAGGGTGTAGGTGGCTATCATAATCTGAACATTTGTAACCCCCAAAATTCATGAGTTGAAATCCTAACCCCCAAGGTGATGGTATTATGAGGTGGGGTTTTTAAGAGATTAGGTCAAAAGGGTGGGGCCCTTGTGATTGGGATTAGTGCTCTTATAGAAGAGACCCCAGACAGCTCCCAAACCCCATTCCATCCCGTGAGGACACAGTGAGATGCTGCAGTCTGCAGTCGGAAGAGGGCCTCCACTGGAGCCCAGCCCCTGTTAGCACTTGGTCTCAGACTTGCAGCCTCCAGAACTGTGAGCAGTACGTTTCTGTTGCTTATAAGCCACCTAGCCTGTGGCTCGTATCGCAGCCTGAACAGAGTCAGACCATGGCCCCAGGTCACCCACAGCTAACAAAGCACCACAGTGAGATCCCCACCCGAGCTTGACAACAGAGCCCCTCCCGTCAACTGCAAAGCCCGACACACCTTTCTTCTAATGACGGGGTCATCCTGGAGAGGCAGACTGGCCTCATTCACTCTCACAGTCTGTACCACTTGGGGCGGTGGGGTGCCATCTTCAGGAAGTGGGAAAAGTTGTTGAAGGAGATATGGACCTGGTGTCAGATGAGAAATCAAAGGGCACTTTTTCCAATCTTAGAAGGACTACTTTATGAACGCCCAGCCCTGAGGAGACGTCACTTGAAACAGCCTCCAACCTCTCTGCATCTCAGCCGCGGTGAAAACACTGTTCACTGTTAGCAGGCAGGGCAGTTTTTAGTGTCTCTATACTTTGTGCTTTAAAAAGCGATACATTTGTAGAGAACAGACTAGTGGCTGCCAAGGGGAACGGGGTTGAGGGAGGCATGGGGAGGAGGTTGGAGTTAGCAGATGTAAGCTTTAAGTATAGAATGGAGGAACAAGAAGGTCCTACTGCGTGCCACAGAGAACTGTATTCAATATCCGGTGATAAACCAAAACGGAGAAGGATATTTTAAAAAGAATGCATGCATGTGTAGAACTGAATTACCTTGCTGAACAGCAGAAATTGGGCTTTCCTGGTGGCTCACCAGTAAAGAATCTGCTTGCAATGTGAGGGATCGCCTGCAATGCAGGAGATGCAGCTTCAATCCTTGGATTGGGAAGATGCCCTGGAGAAGG